AATTTTATGGCCTAATTTGATTAAATAATTAATATAACATAGATTTATAACAAACATAGATAAATTATCAATTGAACCTTATTTTTGTTATCTTTGATTTGATTAAAAAATCTACAAAAATTTCTTTAGCTATAATTCATATTAAAATAGTAGCTTGAAACAAAAATTTTACCTGAATTCATGATGAAACAGCTTGAAGTTGTATAGTTCTGACAAGATCTTTGCCATAATTTTATATATATTCGATCAGACCCAAATTAACAAAGAATCAAAAGAATAAGCTTTATTATAATAAACAAATTTTAGTAAGATATTCACACTGACAAATATAAATTAAATATCAAACATTATAATAGTAAACACTTACGTGTATACTAAAGTATATAAAAGCTATCATACCAATTGATTTGCTTTAACAAACATTTTTATATCAGCTATTAATTTTTTTTCAGCAAGATCTAGTTTAATCTTCTTACAACCTTTTTCACATTGTGCTTTTTGAATTATGTTATACTTCCCTATGAATTACTAGAGATCTATGAATAATGGTATAACTGAAGATTATAATCTTACCAACTTTGTTTTTGACTGTGAATAAAAAAATATGCTATAGACATGTTTGATTTGCGTGTATCTATAGAACTAAAAAAATAAAAACTATTTGAGATATTGATCTTATAGTAAAGGTATCAAAAAGAAAAAATATTAAATATATATATTAAGTTGCTAGGTAAATGATATAAATTAATTTCTTTCAATATAAGAGTAATTCAAATAAATTTTTATTGCCAATAAATTTACATCATATATTAATTACAATATTAATAATAAATTTGGTCTATCATAAAACTTAAAAATATATAACCTGCTTCTGAAACATGATTCACTTCATCATTTATTTTCTTATGTTTCTATTGAATATTCATTTTCGGTTGTATTTGATTTGTATCTCGAGATACTAAAATTACCCGGGTTTGTTGTTGGTTTTTATATTAACATACACCCCAATTTTGATCTTTGAAGATTTGACTTAATGTTTCATATGCTTCTACTCTGCTAAATATACAGTAATAATATTCACAGCTTGGTGAATATCACTTAAT